AATAATGTAAGCCATATGAGCCGGCTTGTTTGGCTCGCGAGCCAGCTCGGCTTGCCACATTTTGGACTCAAGCCGAGCCGGCTCGTGAGCCAAAATAATTTGGCTCAGCTCGAGCCGATGGTGAGCCGACTCATGCGGAGCTTTACTTTATATAATACATTTATTTATAATAAAGTTTTTTTAATACAATGAAGATTTACAAAAGTAATTTCTACTTTAAACTGAAGCAGAAAAAAACAAAATATTTAATTATTTATTTATTAAGAAAAAATAAAATAAATAAAATAATAACTTATGAAAGTACTATTAAAGGATTAGATTTTTCAAAAATTATTTCATATAAAAAATTTATGTAAGTCATTTATTTATATTATTCTAATTTGTAATTTATTAATTAAAGTATTTTAATTTTAATATATATTTAGATATTTAAATTAGATTCTGAGATTATAAATACTTTTTAATATACTAAACAAGAAATAATAAAATCTTAAAAAATGTGAATACCATCCTTAAAAATATTTAATATCAAATGATAGTTGTTATTTCAAGTTAGATATCAATATAAATAAAAGTTATGATAAATTAAGTTATATATAAATTATATCTTTATTTATTTATTTACTTAAAGTAATATCTAATATTTATTATTTTATTATATTATAAATTAAAAAAACATATTTATATAATTTTTAATATAATTTTTATATTTAAAGCTTTAATTGAAAATAATTCAAAAATTTACATATATTTTTATTGTCAAAACTAGAGTTTAAAATAAGTCAGGTTGAGCGAGTTTTTGTCAAACTTAATTCAACTTGAAAAAATCTAGTTGAGTCAAAAAAATTTTAAACTTCAATTTGACATAACTCGAGTTATTTAGTAAATAAAGATGCAAGAGACAATTCATTCTGATTGAATGATAAAAGATGCCCTAAAGAAATGATAAATAAAATCATTCTGATAGAATGATAATGTATCATTCTAAAAGATAATGCATTGTTCTAAAGGAATGATAAAAGAATCGTTCTGATAGAATGATAAATCATTGTTTTTGTGAAATGATAAAAGAATAGTTTTGATAGAATAATAAAAAAATCATTCTATTGAAATGATAAATAACATCATTTCAATAGAATGATTAAATATCATTCTAAAAGAATGATAAATAACATCGTTCTAATAGAATGATTAAATATCATTCTAAAGAAATGATAAATTATTTCATTTCAATAGAATGATTAAATATTGTTCTAAAGGAACAATAAATAATAGTTCCAATAGAATAATTAAACATTGTTCTAAAAGAACGATAGAAAAATCATTCTATTGTAACGATTCTTTTATTGTTCTCTAAGAATGATATACTATAATTCTATCAGAATGATTTTTTTTATCATTCCTTTAGAATGAAACTTCTATTATTCTTTTAAAGTGATGTATATTGTTCTATCTGAATGATTTTTTTTATACTTCCTTTAAAAAAAATTGTTAAATTTTACTTGAGTTCAGCTTGATTTTGGGCTCAAGTTTTACTTGACTTTGGGCTTGACTTTGGCTCGTGTTTTGCTCAACTTTTGGCTTGAGTTTGGCTTGAGTTTAGCTCGAGTCAAATTAAGCTTAACTTGAAACTTGACTCAAGTTAAACGAGTAAAAATTTTTTTGACTTGACTTGACTCCTTGACTCAACTCATTTGACGAAAGTTGGCTCGGCTCATTTGAAACTCTAGTCAAAACTATGTATTTGTCCATACTTTTAAAAGGATCTTAAAAATACCTTAAAACTCATATGTTGGGAAAAAAAAAATTACTTAAACATGAAAATATTGATTGAACCTGATAATGCATTTGATATTCTATCAAATTACTTAATTTAGTTGCTTTGTTGTAGAAAAGAAACAAGTGAACAAACACAAAATGAAGTATTGCGATATGGTTACACGAATTTCAGTTTAATATGAATGATTTTCACCATAATGTACTGTATGTAACTTCTGCGAATAATTTCGAGAATTTTATGAAATATGGACATCGACCAAAAGTCAAAAAAATTCATTATGCATAATTCGTCCAACAATCATAATTAATGCTAGCAATCAAAATATCACTTTTCAGAAATTAACCTATTACAAAAATATACACATTTTTAAAATTACAATAAATCTGAAATATATCAATCAAAGAATTTTTAGATCTAATTTTTAAATTTTAATTATTTCAACCCTTGTTCTTTTAAAAACCAAGTTTTCTATAAACTGATCTTTTTCTATAAGTGTTTTTGGTAAAGGATGTATAGTCATTTTTGAATAGGTACCACCAGATTCACCTCTTGAAAGATAACCAGGATTAACGCAAATAACATTTTCAACAACCTATTTTCAAAAATAAATAAAAAAAATTTATAGATAAGCGAATTAGCATGAAAAAAAGTGTATTCAAAAAGAAATATTAACCTTTGCGAAAGATTTTAATTTTGAAGGTAGAATTAGGACATCAGGTAATTGTTTTAGTTCAAGATAACTAGATTTCTTGAATTCAAGATGTACTTCTTCCCTTGACGTAGGAAATAATGGATAAAGACTAAAGATAAAAAAAAAAAAGAAAAAAAAAGTTGTTACAAGGGTTCTATAAATTTACTGTAATAAAAAGATACATACTGTCTTTGTGTCAATATATGACGCGATAGTCTTCCCATTCGATCTAAACTAGGCTTTGCATTTCCATCAATTCTATAAAAGAATAATAAAGGGGGATTAATTCCCACGATTTCAGTTAATATTAATTACAATTCCTATTATACCTTTCAATTTCATTATTAATAAGATGAAATAAAATATCAACATTATCAATAGCAAATGTTATCTCATTTACTCGGAATTGAGCAGGGTTCGACACACAAATTACATTCTAAATATAAAATAGAACGTTTATCAATACATTTGATCTCATGAGTAAATGTATATTGAGATGAATAATAATACCTTTGATAATACGTGTTTAGGGAATGGTGATTGCGGAAAAACAAATGGATGAATTAAATCCTTTATGCTTGGAACCAAAACAATGGATACATTAGGCACTTTACATAATTCATCTATAATACTTTTTTTAAAGATTTCGCCAGGAGTCTTGGAAGTATTCCCTGCATATAAAAGTGGGTGATCTTCACTCACAAACGGTCCTAACTAAATAATAAGAAGAATAATTATAAACAATTTAAAACATTCACGCAAACCACAATTCCTTTTCAAAACGTTACCAAAATTAACAGATCAGGTTTCTCTTGATTCATCTTGGAAAGTAGCTCTTTGAAAGGCTCGTATTCAAATCCATCGTTCAAAGTAAAAGGCCCTGCAGCAATTACAATATTTAATGGGTTTCCATTTTGCTTTTCTTGGCCATAATTATACTCGATTAATTCACTAGAAGGAGTTTTACACATAGGTAATAAGGGTATCTATATTTGAAATAAAAGATCTGTATTAAAACTATTTGGTGTTGAAAAAAATGAGGAATAATATAATTACCTCAAAAATTCTACTCATATTCAAATAATTTCCAGTACTATTAGTACCCTCAACGCCCAATATCTAAATATAATTTAAAATATTTTTGTTTTTAAAAAAAAAAAAAAATTTAACATGAAAAATAAATAATTAAAACCCGATTTATAAGAAAGAACTACCTGTCCAGAAAATAAGGAAAATGACTTAAGTCCATCAAATGATAATTTCAAACGATTTCGTTTTTCTGGAATTTCTAACAAAACAGATTCAGTATTAAGATTCCCCTCCGAGTCACAACAAATCCTGCCAACTGTATGTATCTCATCCTAAAAGATTTTTTGGTAAAAAACTATCAAAATGTATTATCCAAAAGAGTGTACGGCAATTGTTTTTAACTTACTCGATTGATATGAAATGCATCAGAAATTTCCAAATTGTAATGACCCTTTAATAGTGATGATAAGTTAGAAAATCTATCATCTAATTCTACATGTTTAAATAAAGATAATTAAAAAAACGATAAATATATCTCATTTTGTGAAACTGCAAACGCGTTCTAAAGTCAATAAAGTCAATATTATATACCCTCAAGTACTCGCTTTTGGTACATATATCGATAGTTATCAACTTGGTTATCTGGTATTAAATTTATTTCGCAACGTTTAAAGATATTTGCGGAATTCTTATATGCTGGTATGTTTGGGTTAAGAATATCTTCTATTTTCCCTTTATTCTCACGTTCAGAGAACTTCTTCTTTGTATTACTCGCTTCAGTTTCCTGTCCCTTCACTAAAATTCCCCTCTCTTCCATACTTTAGCACGAGAAAGACAAGAGTCAAGTGTTTGTGTTTTTTTATAGAATTTTTTTTTCAAAATTGACGCGTCGAGATTAACTGTTATTGAATAATAAACGCGTCAAGTAAAGGATACAAGTCTCCTATTGTTTTTTTGTTATAAATGATCGGTTCGCCTGTTCGAAAGTTCACTAGTCCTCCTTGCGAGTTTGATATAAGTTTTTGCATTTTAAAATTTGATTAAATTGGGTTTTGGAAATGAACGATCCGAAAGACCATTGGTCAATTTGTAGGAGGTCTTTTTTTAGGATGAATAGACGGGATTTATAATATAAAGATTGATCGACATTATAAAAAAGTTAAACTTACCGCAGAAATCGTTAAAATCAATTCATATGAAGCTGGCTATACCTCTGAGGCGCAGATAATTTTTTCGAGACTTAATAACATAGATCTCTAGCGAAATCAGATTTGTGTTGGTATCGAAGCTCTCCAAAACAAAATAAATCAATTTTATGCGGATGTTCAAAGGCCTGATTTTGATCAACTAAGTACTGTATGTCCAATGGATCTGAAGTTAGTTCACGAAGCTCTTCAACTAATTCATCTTCAAGCTCTTCCTGATAATCAATCGATGCTTTATGTATTAGGGAAATTTGACTAACATTTTTTGATTGCAGGGTCGAGTCAAACATCATTTCTGTAATTCGGATATAATTAAGAATTCGGAAGGTTATACTTTAGATCAGATGTGTAGTATTGAAGTTCTTAAACTTGGGGTGGAAAACTTGAAGTGATACAATAAAAAGTTTCTACCATGGGTTAATATAAAAAGCAAAAAACTTAGAGAAATACTGTAGGTGCAGCAAAGTGAATAGCGGGAAAGGAACTGCCATTATAGCTCGGCAAATTCCTCTCTTGAAACAGCATGTAATACTAAAAATAATAAACAGATTTACACTGAATTTTTAACCTTGTGTGCATGTTTACATAATGTATATAATACACTGGAATATTAGCTAAGATGTGCTACATGAAATTTCCGACTCAGAAAAGGATTTTGAGGTTGAATCTGGGTGAATGCAAAAGATGACTGCTGGTGATTATGCAAAAGATGACCCCCGCGATGTTTATGGAAATGAAGCATGTATTCAAGAGACGGTAGTATATTTTTATGTCAAACACTGAACAATGTTCTTTTTATATGTATATCTCTTCTCTTCTATAGATCTATCCTTTCGGGAATGTCTTCCTCTTCTGGCGAAATTTCAGCTTATATAGCGTCAGTAATGGAAAAGTATTGTAAAACATCAACCACTTCAGAATTCGAGTAAGTCTCTGATCTTAAATCACAGATTATGTTTATAATGATTTTTTTAAATTTTGCAGTTTGGCGCACAGCTTTATCTTAGATCTTACGTTCGCATCAAAAATATAAAGAGAATTTGAGCAAAATTCGTGGGCTGATCTCATAGCTGATCGACCTGCCGCAGCTAAAGTTGAGAATCCGATCATCTATTTGGTCCTCTCAATGAAAAGGTAAGATGTATTTGTAATCTTAATCATTTTTTTGATACAAGTATTAGAAAAACTTAATGAATCTCGTGATAAATGGGAAGTTGAATCTTCCTACAAAAAAGCTCTGACACGTGGTTATATAAATAATCATCACCCGCATCACACCCCCTATGTTTCATTTTTTACTATTTTTATTTTGGAATAGGGTGTCCAGGATTTGTTGGTCACGATTTTAGGGTGATTAATTTCAGCCGGAATTATAATCGCGATTTTTACGCGCGAATTTTTGAACCATTCTGGACACCCTATTTTGGGAACAGTTTTTTTAGGTGATAAATCATAATTATCACTTATTATTTGTCACCCCCCCCCCTTGATTAGGGTTAGTGTAAGTTAAGGTCTGCTATTCGCTAAAAGTCACATGCCCGGGCTTTTTTGTCGGTGATGCTGGAGAATTGAGAAGTTAAGGGGGTTTAAAAGCACCGGAATATGAAGAAGATTTTTCATATGAAAAGGAAGATAGGAAGAAAATTGTGTACTGGGTCAAACGTGCTGTTGGACAATTGTAAGTTTCCGTTAAAACCATCATTTTAACCATGTTTTTAGTCTGGATGCTTTTGAATCCGAGTATAACCCTATACAACAAGTTGATTGTGAAGAAAGAGAGTGGTATAGAGATTATATAATCCTATATTTCAGGGAGCTCTGAAATTGAACAGATCCTCTTGTGTCCCTTGGTAAGTTTTATTTGTTTCACTTTCCCATTCCCTAGACTCAAATATCTCTTTTTTATAAACCATTTTTAGGGGAGAAGGTTCATCTTCGAAGACGCAACAAAGATAAAAATATATTGATAGAGCAACTTGAGCGGGCCAACCAAACAGATTTATTATGTAAAGTAAATCAACAAGAAATAGTTTGTGGGTAGTCCACACAAATATGACCTTACATAGATGACGTCTGATGATTATCAGCTTCCACGAATGCTCAAAATGACATGTTAGAAAAGTTCCAAGGTAGAAATAGAGATACATAAAATTCTGAATTTTGTTTCGGATCAGCAATATATGACTGAAATCCGGATATATATGATGGAAAAGCGTGATATATATCGATTTCATCTCTGAAATCATTCAACTTACGGCAACTTACGTCTTGCTCTTTCGTGGGCTTGGAATGTGGTTGAGTGCTGCGAAAAGGGACCAATTGTAAAATAAACTTTTTTTAAATAATTAAAGTTCTGGATCAAACAATAAAAATCTATTTTACTTTGAAAAAAATTTCAATTTGGTCCCTTCTCGCAGCACTCACCCCATGTTAGGCTTATTTTTAGCATTCTTTTATCTTATTGTCATATCTTCTAAACGAAATCCGCCTAGTGAAATGAAAACTGATACATCACCTAACAGATCAAAAAAGAAAAGAGTCTAAGATCCAGTTATAAATCTTTTTGATGCAATTCTCGTTAATTACTACTTACTAATGATCTTTTATTGATAAATATCACATAAGCCAATAATCAATATTGAAAATAACATTTATCATGTTAAGTTTGTGACACAAGTAAAAGTGATCAGCATTACAAATTATAACGTTTACATTATTTATAAACTTTAACGGGGATACACGTGAGTTACAATGCAGATTATAAGTTTTAATGTTGGGGGGTTTTTTTTCCGAGAAATCTACGAATATGAATCATGAAGAATCATCTTTGTCTGCTGTAAAACAGAAAACCCAATGCACGCTTTCCGAATTAATTCAATATCAATGTCGAATTGAAGAAAACCGAGTTATCTGCGTTCCATTTGTTAGAATTTTTAAAAAGTAATAAAAGGAAAAAAATTTTTTTTTTTTTCAAACTAGTCATCCTTATTAACTATTTTAACATTTGTAAATGTCTTGTCGAATTAGATGTATTGGCAAACCAACTGTTGAAATAACGCCGTTTTATGATTCCGAGGGTAATCCTATTGCTCCTGGTCACCCTGCTTCATAGTATGTATTAAACAACTTTCTTTTGATGTTAATAATTGAATTTTATATTTACTCATTTCTATTTTTTACCTCTTCTTTTTTAAGCTTGATTTTCACTAATCGATAATGTATTTGAATCAAGTTGAACCGATTATTTTTCACGATATTTTAATATTCCATACAAATAAAAAAGTTTTATAATTATATAACTTTTTGTTTCTTAAAATTTTGATCTCTTTTTGAATATGAATTCTGATCTGAAGCAAGCCTCATCCCATCCCTCCCTTCAGATTTGACATCATTTTTTTTTTTTCTTTTTTTTATATATCAATTTAAAACAAAAAGATCAGGTTGGTACAAATATTTTTTCTTTCGGTCTCCAGCCCCAAATCGAACAAGAGCAAAGTACAAGCCTCAAAATACGGTAATGTTGCATTCTAACAAACCAGTAAAAACGTAACAACGTTGAAGATCTTTGCATTGCGGCTGATTTCCGAGGCTTTTCAGAGGATATTTCCCAGAAAAGTAATAATTTTTTTTCATTGAATTCATAAAAAGTAATTGCTTTTTTGGTTCACACATTCACACAGCCGTTTTAGATAAATTCAAACCTTACTTCTTTGACAAATGAATCCTCCTAATGTTAATTACACTGCCACATGTTTTCTTTTTTTATTTTCGATCAACGCATCACCTCGATCTTTCTATGCAATTTATTTCTCGTTCAACTCATCAAGTGCGAAGCGATACGATCCGCGAAAAACAATCCGTGGCTGTGCTTTTGCAAATAATTTTGATGGCCAGACTGCACAGCGCCGTGGCACGTTCAAGAAAAGCCTTCAAATATCCTACCTAGTTTATGAACTTGTAAAAGTGTCATAATTATTTAAAACATCTAAAAAAGCAAGAAAGATCATGAAATAACGGGAAATTTAAATTGCTGAAGCATTCCCTCATTGAAATGATCAATGATAATAGGAAAAATACTATAAATGGTGGTGTTACGGGCGTTTTTATTTTTTTTTCCGCAACTTTTACATTAAAATTATATTAGTATTTGTACACAATTGAACGCCACCGGGAAATGTTTTGCCTTATCAGTTCTTGTTCACCAGTACACTAACCACAAGGACTATTCCTTTTTTGTAAATTTGCTTTTTGAATAAATACCCCCCATTTCCTTTCGCCTCCCAGCCCACCATTTTCAAGCCACAGTAATTCTCACAGAAAAGTGTTAATTTTTCATCTATAAATCTACAAAAACAATGGACGCTGAATCTTCACTTAACTCTACCGATCTTAAAATTGACTCAACGAAAGAAGACGTGCCCACCGATACTTCTGCAACTTCTTCCTCGGGCTATTCTATAAATCCTTTACAGGTTCAACTGCAAACTGAGCAGCTCAATTCTCGAGAGTCTACTTCAAACAAAACCACCATTTCCAACCCTTCTAACTTAATCAGTGTTAGTACAACCCCTTCTCAAGTTCCAGAGATAAATACTTCACCACCTGGTGAGTTGACACCTCAAAATATGAATTTTTCTTCCCAAGATATAAATTTGTTGACTCCTAATCTCAACAGAACAATATCTAGTTCCCCGACTCTGTCACCAGTTAATTATAATTCTGATTCTAGTAATTTAGCTTCTCCTTCTACTCCTCTTTCATCACAAAAAGGTAGCCCAACTTCAGGTTTATACAATTCGTTTACTTTAAATTCTCAAGAACAACAAACTACTACCGGACAGCCACAAAGTCCTAGTCCTGTAAAAGCAAAACCATATGCTTGCACAGAGTGTAATCAAACATTTAGTCGACAACATAATCTTAAATCACATGCATTGACTCATTCTCAAGAAAAACCTTTTCAGTGTGAGGTATGTCAACACTTTTTTCGTCGACACCACGATTTAAAAAGACACGCGAAATTACACACAGGTGAAAAGCCATATCAATGTCCTCATTGCAAGAGAAGCTTTGCCAGATTAGATGCTTTGAACAGACATTTACGCGCGGAAAGCTTCTGTGGTGGACCACAAAAAAAGCTCTATCAAACATCAACGAATGGACAAAAACTCTCACAACAAAAAACCGAACAGAAAGTTGAACAACCGCAAAAAATACAATCTCAGCCTCAGCAACAACAGCCACTTCCACCGCCACAACAAAAGAAAAAACAGATCGATAAGAATCTTGTATTAAATGTAGAATCGCAAGTAAATAAATCACCGACATTACAATCAGAATCTTTGAGACAGTCACAAGAAAATTTTCAAGAGCAATTTAAACATTGGCATCAACAAATTCAGATGCAAAAATCGCCTTCAAATCTTAATAATTCGACTCGAATTGGGCAAATCGTTTTTCCTGTTGACTCTGTCACGAAAGCCACATCTGCTAATATTCAACGTTATTCCATTCAATATGCTCAAGATTCTCAACAAAGAATTGTTGATGATCCAATTAAAATAGATCCAGATGTTGATACTATTATAATTAATCGTAGAACAACTGCGATGTCTCAATTAGAAATACAATTGAAGGAACGTAATGATTACCTTGAAGACCGTGTACGTCAACTTGAAAATGAGGTAATTAATGAGCGTAAATTGCGTAATCGACGTGAATTACTTGAAGAGCAAGTAAGAAAACTTGAGATTGAGGTTTGTATTTAACATTTTTATCATCGGTATTTATTTACAAATTTATAAATTTATCTAATCAATTTTTTTTTTAATTCTTTATTAAATAGAAAAATCTCCTTAAATCTCTCTTGCTTGAGAGAAGCAACCGAGGGCCTACTGATTTAGGTCCCACTGGGGGTCCTGGAGGGGGGTATGATGTTTCATCTATAGAGTTGGCAAAACGATCAGATAAAAAACGAAAAGCGTCGTACCTTGGTGATCTTTCTAGTTCCCCAAAACATCAAAAAGATTACGATGGTGCTGCTGTAATTCCACAATCCGCACAATAATTAGTAGATATTTATTATATGAAATTAATGTTAAGATGATAAATTATTAATGATGCTGGAATTTCACTTCACATCATATATGATGATATATTTATGAAAAAATGTTTTTTCATGTACATAATGTAACTATAAAAAAAGACATTATTATTTAAATTACATAAGTTGAATTACTTGCACTTTTATTAACAATTATGAACAATTCAAACAATATGAAACTATTTTTGTAAGCAGATTTGTATAAACTTTTAAGGTTTTCTTTAAATTCATTACCAATTTAGATTTAGAATTTTTTTAATTTATTTTCTTGCTTTTGGTGTATTATATCAATATAAACTTAAATATATCTTGTAATTCTTTCAATGTACCTTATTTATATTTAATAGATTAAAATTGATGTTTACTTGTAAATACATTTTTTTCTTTTTTTTTTTAAAAAAAAAAAATAAATAAATCTTATAATGTAATATAACTATCATCTAATATTTTTATTGTTCATAGAATATAATTTATGTCAATTCTCATCATTCGTATTTATGTATTAAATGTTACAAAAACCACAAATTATTCAAAATGCATAAAAAAAAAAAAATTTAAAAAATTAAATGCTAATGCTTTAATCAATGACTATAATTCCCCAAATTCTATTTTCTTTTTTATCATCTTTGATTACTTCTTTATCAATATTTTCATCATCTATATTATATACTTTATTTTTTTCGCGTATTCCATTTTCATATATCTCGTGTTCGTATATACCTTCTCGCGATATAGATATTGTCTCATCATCAGATACAACTTCAACCGTTGACTCTTCCACTGCAGGACGTTTACGAGATGATCTTTCGGATGCATCAAATTCTGATTCTTCCAACTTTCTTTTATGTGCAGAGTCATTATGGGAAATCTGATTCTTAACAAAAGGAGTACCTTCGACTTCAAACCATATATTAGACGTTTCAAAGTTTTCTCTATCAATTAAAACAAAAGTAAATAAAAACATCAATTTTCTCTCTTAAAGGAAAGAAAAAAAGAAGGAATGTAATACCTGTGAGAAATTGCAAAAATAGATGTACTTTGTTCTTCTGGCTTTACGGTAACTAATTTACCATCAGTAATTTGAAGTTGCTCAAAAGTAGAGTCAAGATTATCATCATATTCAACATCATATAGAATCCTTTTAATAAAGCAAAATAAAGAAGATTTCAACAAATGCTTTTACATTATAACCACTAAATCAAAAGTAATCAAACCTTCCGCCCTCTTCCACTGTAACTTCATTAATATCCATTTCGTCATCATCTTGACCATGAACAACCTTTTCGAGAAAATCACGCAAAGTTGCGGTTCTGGTGTTTACTCTCAGAATTATATGCGTGTTATTACAAACTCTACATTCTGGATTTGGTGAAGTCAAACTTTCGGATACAAGGACTCGTGGTCGTCGTGAGCTATCCAAAAACACCTACAATATAATGAAATCTCTGTCTTGAAAATTACTCAATGTATTATATGGGAACGTTGCCAGTAAAATCAAGTCATGAGGCATAGTGAATCATATGATCCGTAATGTGACTTTACTGGCAACGCTCCCATATTATATAATTGTAAATATAAAGAAACAATATGTACATTTCTACACTCGGAGAATTTTTCACTAAGGACTTTGTACGATTGCATCACGATCATCCCTGCAATAATTGCATTTGTCGTTGCAATAGCCGGAATAATATTACCAGCAATTGCTAGATTACAATAACAATGAAATGATTTAATCTCTAATTATAAGTTTTACGATAAGTATTATATTACTAAATACCTTTAATCTGAAATTGTGACTTCACATCAATACTAAAAATAATTGACCGTAAATTGGATGATGCTGTTACAAAATCCAAAGCATCCTGATCATCTTTATCAAATAAAAGCGTAGCGTTTGGATTGCTGATGTGTTTTTTTAATAATGTATTACTTAGCCGTCGAACACTACATAGGAAGTAATAAATAAATATATAGTTTATATGAAACACACATTAATAATGTATTATAGCAAACCTATCTAAGAACACAACGAAGTTTTCTGCTAGACTCCATATTCGTTGATCTTTCAACATATTATAATCTTCTATGTAATTCAAATCGGAATCTCCCTCCGTAACTAGGTTTTCTATATCTTCATATATTAGAGGTACAGGAGGTTTCCTATTTTTCCACATATCTTCCATTCTAAGTAAACGAATTATATCGTCGGTAAAAACCTTTTTAAAAACTCTTTGAGGATAGTCCAGTGTTCCCATTGCTGCTCTAATTTGTTTTAACGCTTGCGTTTCTCTTCTAAGATTATCTATTTCATTCGCTGCAAAAAAAAAAAAAATATCTAATGATCAGCCACTTGTTAAATGAAATATATAAATATAAATAAGAGTAATTACCATTTTCATCCGTCATTTCTGCTTCTAACCGTTCATCATCATCATCTTCAGGTAGTCCAAATAACTGACTAAAAAAATTTATTAGTTAAAGAATATACTTATAAATTAAATTATATACAATAGACAAACCTAAAAAGATAACTTTTAGCCCATTCGATACAATGGATAGGTTGGGATGGAGTACTTCGAATCGTACATACTGGAAAAGTTCTTTTTAATGGTTTAGGTTGGCAATCATAACACTCGGATATTCCCTAATAAAATAATAAATAAAGTCAGATTATTTACTTAATTGTACATTTGTAAATGGAATTTATTATTAAAATTGATGACCTTTTTAATGACTGTCACTTGACCTAAATATCCTTCTGTACCAGATTCAATCAATGGTACATCAGCAACTAAACACATCATGTTTACATGGCGTCTGGCATCTGAAAAATTTTAATGGGTTCGTTAAAAAGTCATTTAATTTTAATTTAAAAAATAACTAATATTCTTTTACCAAGATTATCTAATGCGTTCATCACAATATCGAAACTTTTAAACCACTCAACGTTAAATTGTGAGTCTTTGATATTAGCATGGTGCGCAATGATATTCATATCAGGGTTAAAATTTAATGCGGATTCACGTGCAACCTATTGTTTCAACAGAACAAACGGGTCAGACAAAACCTTTCAAGAAAAAAAAAAGTACATACTTTTGCCTTAGATTTCTTAATGTGTTGCTTTTGAAATAAAAATTGTCGGTTTAAATTCGAAAGTTCGATTGTATCTAGATCAACCTGCCCAAAAATATAAAGTTAGTCAAGGCATATTTGAAACGTTTATATCAAATGCGGAAAACTATCAGGACAAACCAGTTCGATTTGAAGAAAACCACTCATTGCCAAGTTCTTTAATAACTCGCAACCGATCCCACCAGCTCCAATGATTAGTACACGGCATTCGTTTATTTTTTGGAAGAGCGACTGTCCTAAAACGTTTTTGGAGTGTAAGTATCGAGACATTTTGATTGAAAGAAGTGATACGGATTCTTGAACTATATAGTTATAAAGGATATGACGCAGCCTGATTTAAGGCCGGTTAGATTTTCAAATGATCATCCGCGCGTGTTTTAGGTGACTAACTATAATAAGAAATTATTTAATATACATCATTGTTTGTTTGTGCTGTGTAATCTCATTTTCTAAAATAATCACTTTATCAACTAATAAGGAAACTATCGTAAATTTGAAAGTCTATTATTATTGAAAAATTTAAAAGTTTATAAAAATATAAATTTCAAGATTTTAATTATTTTATTATGATAGATTGTTCCTTCTTATATAAGTAATATATTCTTCTCATATTAGACTTTATTTTTTATATAATTATTACTAATTTAAAAAAAATCTAATTAGAAAATCGTGATCGAGATCGCCAGCTCACTTCAGTATCGCCAAGCGTTCTACTACAAAAGAATTGTTGCGGATAAAAGGCGGAATGGGGAATATCGAAAATATTGCTGCACTATTGCATTTTTATTTTTCTGCCTTTAATTTCCGGTGCTATAGGTTCGATATTAAATTATTTCGCAGACGTTCTCTTGCGAAAAAATAATTTTTACATCTGTGCGGGTACTAATCCGCCACCTATTAGGTAATGAAAGAAAAAAAAAGTTAGAGGAAAGTACTAAGAATATATGGGACAGGAAAGGGAAACTGTAATTCTAAACAATGAATAAAAT